TCTAGCAAAAGGTATAAACTAATTATAGTTGACAAGTGAGGAAAATGATAATAAATGAGGGTCAATCTAATAAACAAAGAAGTCAATGAGGGGGATGTGAAATTGGAAGAAGATAATTCAGAGGGGTGAGATGATTAATATTATTGGGTGACAAGTACTGTCATCAGTATGATGTAGTGGAGAAAGCACAGAGGCTTTGAAATAAAAGAGATCTATATTTTGAATCTTGTTTTTTTTTTCAGTTTACTAGCTGTGTTTTTGACAATACATGTAACTTCTGCTGCTCTAGTTATAGAGTGGCAGCAATAATCTTTTCCATGGAAGACTGTTGTGAGATTAATTGTTGTTATATATAAATTGACTTATTCATAGGGAATTCTCACTAAATGGTAGTCATTATTGTTATTATTTAACTGATGGGGCAAAATTTTCAAATGAGTGATCACTTAGCATGAATCATGACTATTATTTCTTTGTAGTCATGAAAAAGGTAATGAACAGGATGGGTAGTAATGAGATTATATAAATTAGACATAGTTATTTTTAATTCTCTGCTATTTTTTGTAAGAAAATAGATAGATGCCATGGTATTCTAGCAAGACTTTTGAAGGGACAGATGGATAATTCTCTTGGAAAGGAGTGTGATATATGTGAGAGAAGCTAAATTTTGGCGTCTAGGCAAATGGATTTGAATTCACTATTTATAAGCTTAATAGTTGTTAAATCTCTGTCAGCCTCAATTACCCCATTTTAAAAGTGAGAATAGGGTATCTGTCAAGAATAAATTAAGTAGCATAATAAACCACCCAATGCAATGACTAATACATAGCAGACTCACAATAACCCTTGATCTCTATTTTCACACTCCAATATCATCACTTTTCTCCAAAACCACATGGTATGCACAGGAACTGTTTAAAATGTAGTCAATTTTAATGTGCCTTGATAACACCAATATTCATGACCAGGAGACCCTCCTGAGACTAGAATAAGAGATCTATTTAACGATTTAACAAAAGCTTCAGGATTTCTAACAGGAAAAAATAATATTTTATTTCTCTTACTTAGAGCATAGGGAATTTTCATGTTATCTTCCTGTTTCCTGTTTTTCATATGTAAGAATAAAATAAAGTGACAGTGTTAAAAATAAAAAAAAGATGGATTTTAGATTTCTAACAGAACCATTGTTACCTGAAAGCTAAGCAAGTTTTGACAGGTAGAATAAAAGAAGCTAAAAGAAGAGTATAAAAGAGGTAGTGTAGCACCTAGAGAATTTGAGGAACTGAAGTATGCTTTTTGGCAAGCAAAAAAAGCAAAGTTTTCTATAGAAGTAGAATTCTGGAAACGCTGAGGAAGAGAACCATGACATAGAATCATTACATTAGCTTACATCTGCTCTCACTAAAGGCTCAAAACTGAAGACAAAGGTTTTTGAATTTTATCCCCAAGAACTGATAAAAACAAGTTATAATCATTCAGAGACAGTAATAAATAAACCTAAAAACAATCTATCCCAGGTTGTGCTATTTGTGGAAAATTATTTCCTAAGCACAAGAAAACTGAATCATTTATTTATCACTTAGTGTATTTTCAGGTTTCAGAAAATTGAATTCAAACTGTTTTAAGCCTTAGATAGAAATTCATAATGCTAAATAACCTTTTTAGAATAGTAGAGAGGTTACAAATCAAATATTTTGGTGTCTACTTTAGGAAACTTGGAAGAAAAAAAACAAATTAAACTTGAAGTAAAACAAGAAAGGAAATAACGAATATCAAAGCAGCAAGCAATAAAATAAAATGAGAAAAAATAAAGAAATTCTTCTTTAAGAGGATCAATAAAAGCAGTAAATCCCAAGAATAATATTCAATGATCAAGTGGGATATACCCCAAGAATATAAGGTTGGTTTAACATTAGAAAAATAACTCATGTAACTTATAATAAATCATACCAGAAAAGAAAAAAATATATTGACACTTCAGTAGACTCAGAAAAAGCATTTGAAAATATGCAGTAGCCATTAATGATTTTAAAAAGAAACAAACCAGGCGGGGGATATAGGTCACTTGGTACAGTACTTGCGTGCAAAAGACTCTGGGTTCAATCCTCAGCAGCACACACACACACACACACCAAAAAAAGATAAACAAACAAACCTCTCATCCAATTGAGAATAAAAAGATCTTCCTCAACATGATGAATAAATGCATGTACCAAAAATTGGCAGCTAACATTATACTTAATGGTAAAAGAACAAGAATGAGACAAAATTCCAGCTCTCCTTCCTTCAATTCAATATTGTATTAGGGGTGCTAGCCAGGGAAATTAGATGACAAAAAGGAAAAAAATCTATACCATATTGAAAATAAAGAGGTAAATCAGTCTTTATTTGAAGATGATATGAATGTCTATGTAGAATATCTGTCAAAATCTACACAAAGTAGTTACTACAAACAATAAGTTAATCCAATAAAGATGCAGAACATAAAAGTACAAAAATCAATTTTGATCAACTGCCAAAATGATGGAGAGAGGAATCTATCATACCCTCTTCACACAAAAACAACAATTTACCTGGAGAAATACATTCTTAAAGTTACTGAATGTCTTGGGAAATTTTACTAACAGCATACAACAAATGGAGAAACATCCTGTCAAGAAAGCCTGCTAAATCTTAGTAAGATAGCAGTATTTGCATTTGAGTCATGGTCAACCCATTGGCCCAGTCCCAACTCCATGTTAAGAAAACTCTACACTAGATATTTTCAGCCTAGAAGATGGGGCTCACTCTCCCTCTAGTTCCCGGTCTAGGACTGTAGTTTTTTTCCCAGGAAGGTAAGGTCACTAGAATTTCCTATTCCTTGGCTCCATGTTGCAAAAACTCTATTCTGAACAAACCCAAACAAGATATCTGGGACTGCCCAAAGCACAGCAGACTGAGAATACTGGGCTTTAATCACCCCAACTCCAGCTGTCTGACAGAATAGAAATTATATACTGAGAGAGAAAAGACAAGAAAATCAAAGATTAGCACCACCCTCAGAATCCGGCTGTAGACCTTAGAAGGAGGACATTGCTACTCGCACCCCTCCAGCTCTTGTTCAGTGCAGCAGAGATTCTTTCCAGAAGGAAAGGTTGGCTTTAAGGACAAATAATCCTGCAGCTAGGCCTTAAAGAACTATTTGAAACAAAGAGAATTCTATGCCTAAGGCCATTGTCAAAAACAATGCAGATCTTAGTAGAGAACAATTACAAGGACAATAGTATCTTCTTGATATTAGTAGCAACAAGTCAACTATCAAATCAACCAGATGTTTAATAGAATTATGGGAAGAGACAGCCAAGAGGGACCTTCCAGAGAACACAGTCAACCCTGGGAGTCAGAAGGCTATACAGAAGTGCTATCTAGGATGTGCCCCCTCAGGACCAATAAGAGAAGTATGTGGGGGGAAACTTGAAAATATTTCTCAAGTCATGCACACATCAATCAACAAATTCTGGAAACCTTACTGGCACTAGGGTGAAAGACACAATATTTGATCAAATACTGCCTGAACAATAAACTACTTGAATGCAACAGCAGCTTCAAGGAAGCCAAGTATAAAAAATAAAATTGGATGCATGCATTAACTGTTTAGAAAACAATGTGCATGCCCAAGGCTGAACCCTCTCAAGAAACCACCTACTGAACTTTGATAAACTTTGATGGAGCAAAAATCATAAATTCCCTGAATAGTAACCTCCAAGCCACTCACAGATCAAATTGTAATGGGGAAAAATAGAATCAGCGAAGGCAATTAAATACATATTTGACCAATAACAGGCTTATTGTAGCACAGATGCAACCTCTAGGTAATTATGTTAAAAGATAAGAAAAAGAGAAAGATTTTGAACATGGTTATCAGAAGCCATGCATAGTGAGGGAAAAAGAACAAAATTAGGCATAAAACAAATAAATAAATGACAAACCAAATTAAACCACCCCTTAGTTGGAGGTGAGAGAGATTAGTATCCAATTTGCTATCATGTTTTATCTAAAATATCCCATATTCAAATAAAGAATTAAGAGACATGGAAAACAAAGAGAAAGTATGGTCCCATAGCCTGGGGGGAAAAAGGTTATATAAATTACCTCTTTTAGAAAGCCTAGTTTTTCTACTTACTAGACACAGACAGACACAGTTGCCCTAAATATGTTCAGTGATCTACAGGAAACTGTCCAAAGAAGCAAAATATAAAAACAATGTCTCAACAACTAGAGCATATAAGGAGAGGTTCTTAACAGATCATATAAGCAGACAGAAGAAAGACTCAACGAATTGGACAAAACAATTGCAATCCAAAACTGGCAAAAAGAGTAAAAATGAAAAGACATCACTGTCAAATTTTTAAAAATCAAATATGAAGAGAGAACCATGAAAAGGAGCTAGAAAAAATGACTAATCAAGTACAAAAGAACCAGATGAAATTAATCACTGACCTCTATTATTGTGGGGTGGCCAGCACCCCACCAGGGTAGTTTCCTGCTCAGGAGGTTATGAGCCTCTGTGAGAAAACAAAAGTCTGAAATAATTAGTAAAGAAATAAGACACAGAGCCAGAAATTAGATCAAAGAGGAGCTCCTGATAGATTTTCCAATCCTGTTAGGAGCTGGAACCGAACAGCTAGAAAGTGGCTGGGTGTGGTGAGCCGCTTCTGCCGTTTCTGCAGACTATGGTCGCCATTACAAGATGACGCTGGCTCCGCTGTGGTCTGTGACAAACAACTCCTTATCTGGGAAAGTTGGCACATAATTTTTCACCACCCTGTACATCACCCTGTGAGAAAGCTCCACGCGGCAGCTTTGCATTGGGGCTTGGGATGCTTTATTAAGGCTGGGAGGGGCATCGAGAGAGAGAAGAAGAAATATCAAGGGCCTGAATAAACTGCTGAAAGAAGATTCCTGAGTTGCGTCTTCCTTGCGGGCAAGGGGTCGCGACAAGTGGTGCCGAGACCCGGGATCCAGAACTTTCAGCAGTCAGGGGTGGTGCACCGGTTAGTCCCAGGTAAGTGGGATCCGCGATCAAAGCGGGGTTAGTCCCAGGTAAGTGGGATCCGCGATCAAAGCGGGGTTAGTCCCTAGTAAGTGGGATCCGCGACCAAAGCGGGACAGCTCCTCTGTAATGAAAGAGAGAGCCTTACATTTTATTGCAGCTGCACTGTGTACTTTCGCTTCTACTTTCGCTTTCTGTTTTTTGTGCTTCCTTTGTTGTTGTGTCATGGGTGCCGCATCTTCAAGTCCGCTTCTCCTGGCCCTAGATGGCCTGTTACGTTCCAAGGGACTGGAAGTGAAACATAGTACTTTACAGAGATTTTTACAGAAGATAGATATCGCTGCACCGTGGTTTGCATTTTCGGGCAGCCTTACTGTGCCTAGTTGGGATAAATTAGGCAAAGATCTTGACTTTGCTTCTGAGCAGGGCATATTAGAGGGTGGGGTGATACCCCTTTGGAAAATGGTCCGTGGTTGCCTTACAGATGGTAAATGCCAGGAAGCTGTGAGAGAGGGTCAAGCTATTCTTGAGCAATTGCATGAGGAAAAATCTGAAGGATCATGTAGTGAAGTGGCAGAGAGTATTAAAAGTAACAGTAGTGAGAAGGCAAAAGAGCCTGAAGATAAAAATAGGAGAAGGCTCTACCCAGACTTGACCGAATTAAAAATGCCTGAGAACACAAGCGACTCAGAGAGTTCTGAGGACCTTGATATATTGTTACAACAACTACATAAGATAAAAATGAAAAAGAAGAAAAAGGAGACACAGGGCACGCAGGCCTACTGTAAGAAGGGGAAGGGAGTTAACATTGGTCAACAAAACTCTGAGGAGGAGGAGGTAGAATATCTAGAAGAAGATATGGTGCCGATTGCCCCACCTCCGTATGTGGGGGGTGCCAAGGTTCCGGGAGATCTTTTCATGCACAAGTTTGGAGGACAGTTAATACAGATATGGGACTTGCATACCCTGTATTTCAGGACAATAACAGGGGAAGATATCATGAGCCTTTAGACTTTAAGATAATTAAAACCTTGGCAGAATCTGTCCGCACTTATGGCATAGATGCCGCTTTCACTCTCACTCAGGTGGAGGGACTTACTAGATTTTGCATGACTCCCTCAGATTGGGCTAGTCTAGTCCGCGCTTGTGTTTCCCCAGGGAAATATTAGGAGTCCAAAGTTGGCTGTTTAATGTTTCTGGCAGTACCCAAGACTCGGAGCGAGGTAGGAGGCTTAAAATTTCTGCAAATAATTCACAATTATCTAATGCTACATTACCCTCCACAGCAGTCTGTCTCCAATCTCCGTTCCTGTTTCTTTTGGCTAATGTTACATTACAGGGGATGCTTAATTGTTCTAATATTACCTGTTATTTGTCTGAGTGTTGGAATGGTTCTTGGACTGTAGCAGTGGTTATGAAGATTCCAACTTTTGTCCCAATCCCAGTCATTGCGGACCCAGATAAATTCCCCATTGTTGAGCTACTTAGAGCCCGTAGAGATTTTGGAATTACGGCAGCTATAGTGACAGCTGTGGCGGTATCTGCTGCTGCAGCAGTTACAGCTGGAGTAGCCATGGCCAGCCAAGTACAAACTGCTGCCACTATTAATCAGGTTATTCAACAAACATCCACCATACTTGAATCTCAAAGTAGAATTAATCAACACATTTTATCTGGGATTCTGGCTGCTAATCAAAGGATAGATCTACTTCAAGCTCAAGTTGAGGAATTGTCTGACCTAGAACATTTGGGTTGTATTGATCAACGTGCACATTTATGTATAACCTCTGTCAGATTTTATGATTCCAGAAATGCCTCCCGCATCATTGGAGAGTATCTATCCGGAACCTGGTCCATGAAAGCAGAAAACTTGATCCAGTCTCAACTAACTCAGATTGCTGTTTTGAATAGTACCCGTGTTGAACCAGTGACTTTGGGTCAATTCACCGATTGGATATCTTCTGCTTTTTCCTTCTTCAAAGAGTGGGTGGGAGTAGGCATTTTTGGTGCAATGTGTTGCTTCAGTGTTGTACTTTGTTTGTGGCTTCTCTGTCGCCTTAAAACTCGCCATGCACAAGAAAAGGCTATGATCATACAAGCTCTTGCAGCTTTAGAAAATGGCAACTCGCCTCAAGTCTGGCTTGCGCATCTTAAGCAGTAAACCTTTGTCATGGTCGTTACACCCCAAGTTATTATAACATTGCACTGGGATCGACATGACTTTCCTTGTTATTCTCTTAGTGTTGGAAAGCCCTTGCACTCTGCCGGTCTTACTGCCATTGCACGCAGATGGGTTTCCACACTAGTGCTTTTCTATCGCCTTGAAGTCCGTGCCTTTCTTTCAGGGTGCTGTCAACTTGTTTGTCATTATAAACAGCCACAGTTCAGCCTCAGCTATCCCCCTTCGTCCACCAATCTCACGATACAGGATGCGAGGCAAGGCACTGCACTTGAGTGATCCTTGACGAGGACCTCAAGGAGAGCATGTCCTATTGCATGCGGGTTAGACGCGTTCACGCCCCGCCCCACGAAAAAAGGCGTCGGCTGATATGGCTTCAGATCTGGGGAAGGCGCCTCCTTAGGACTAAGTCATACTATGCAGCCACTTCTGCACAGTGGGATAGGACCTCTACTCTCACCTGTATTGTTTTAAGAAAACAGAAAAGGGGGAACTGTGGTGAGCCGCTTCTGCCGTTTCTGCAGACTATGGTCGCCATTACAAGATGACGCTGGCTCCGCTGTGGTCTGTGACAAACAACTCCTTATCTGGGAAAGTTGGCACATAATTTTTCACCACCCTGTACATCACCCTGTGAGAAAGCTCCACGCAGCAGCTTTGCACTGGGGCTTGGGATGCTTTATTAAGGCTGGGAGGGGCATCCGAGAGAGAGAAGAAGAAATATCAAGGGCCTGAATAAACTGCTGAAAGAAGATTCCTGAGTTGCGTCTTCCTTGCGGGCAAGGGGTCGCGACAGCTGGGGTTCTTTTTTTAAGGGGGAGTACATCAAAGGCAGGGATAAGGTTTCAGCGGGAAGAATCTTGCTTCTCCATGAGGTAGGGGTCTTTCAGTAAACAAGATGATTGGCATCTTGGCAAGCCACACCTATCTCTGAGAGGCTGTGTGGCTACAGTAGATCACCCATCTCCAGTGCAGTGCTGAACTCTTGACAGAACTGGGTAGGAAGTCACGTGAAGTGGGCAGTCTCAAACCAGCAGGGTTGTGGTGGAGTGTTCCCGGATACCAGACTTTTCTACCCAATGGTTTCCATGTCTGTTTGGTTCACACACAGTTCATGAATTGCTCCTGGCCCTCTACTCAAAAAAGTAAAGACCAGAAACAGTGGGATAACATGACTAGAAAAAAAATGTCAACCAAGACTACTATAGTTCGCAAAATTATCTTTCCAAAATAAAGGCAAAAAAAGACATTCAAAGATAAACAAAAATAAGAGAATTTATTGCCAATGAACCTAGCTTAAAGGAAATACTAAGGGGAGATCTTAGGGATTAATGCAAATGACACCAACCATTTATTCAAACCCACACAAAAATGAAAAAAGAACCAACAAAAGTAATTATGTGGGAAATTATACAAGATTATATAATTGCACTTTCATTTCTCTATCTTCTATTACTTGATTTAAAAAGAATTTGCATGAACAATATATACATAATTGTATTGATAAGCTAAAATCACAGAAATATAGTATATTTGACAATAAAAATCACAAAGGAAGAAGGTGGCATAAAAATTGTATTGGTGTAAGAAAATGACAGAAGAAAATAACTCTAAACCAAAGTAAGAATTTAAGATAATCAGAAAGAGTAAATAAGAAAGTTAATATAACAAGAGCCTGGAGAGATGGCTCAGTGGTACAGTGTTTGCCTAGTATACATAAGGTTCTGGGTGCAGTTCCCAGAACTGCAAATAAAAGAAAAAGTTAATGTAACAAACCTGCAAATATGTACCAAATTTCCTTTTTCCATTAAACTTACTCAAATTACATAAAGTAATAATGATATTGTTGTATGTGTATACATGTGTGTGTATATACATGGCAACAATAACACACAAAAAGACAGTGAGTAGAACTATATACTATTAAAGTTTTTTTATTTCACTAGAATTAAATTATCATAAATCTGAAGTAGATTTTGATAAGAAAAATGGGTAAAATTAATTCTAGACCAACAGCTAGAACCAATAAAACCTTACACTAAAAATATACACTCAATACCAAAGAAGGCAGAAAATACGGAAAAGAATAATAATAAAAATAAGACATCAAAGAAGGAAGATGGAGAAGTAGAGGAGAACTTGCATTGGCGTGACTTGGTATGAATGGTCGGTCGCTTTTCAGCATAGGAGCCCCCCATTCTCAAATTTAAGCTTCATGGAGCTTGTAACAGGATTTTAAACAGCTGTTTAATACAAGGGCAGGACAAAACACGAGAAAACCTGAGTCGCTCTGTGCACAGAAGCCGGCCAGCGGCAGCGCAGCCCAGGAACCGGCTGCTGAAGGGTGGAGGTGAGCGCTGGTGAGACGCAGGCTCACAGAGCCTTTAAGATCAGAGCATGCTAAACTGCAACCCTTGTCAAGGCAGGGTATTGGACCAAGGACCAAACTCAGGGCATAGTGGATGAACAGCCTAGCCCCCCCACACCACCAGACACCCTGGCGCAGAAACGGGCAGTTGCCATCTTGGAAAATCTACCGCATCAGCTTTTGGCGGGTGTAGCAGACAGCGAGATTGGCTACTGAACAGCTGTGTGATTTCCAGCCTCCCCTCTACCCAGCTGTGATAACTCAAAACTTTTCTTGGCAGCTCTCAGTGGCCATGGCTATCAGAGGGAATAAGACAGAACAGGTTGCCGGTTTCCAACTCCCCCTCTCCACAGCTGTGAAGACCTGGTGACTTCCCAACACAGAAATAGCCCCCAGTTGATCAGGAGCCCAGGGCAGCCAGGGAGCCGCAAGCCCAGAGTGAACCCAGGGCTGTGCAGAAGAGTCCCAGTATTTGGGACCTGGTGGGCAGGAGAGGTGAGGGAGATAGAGACCTGGAACAACCCAAAGACACAAGGATTGAAGAGGCACCCGGCAGGGGAGGAAGAGCCGCCTCACACCGATTGCTTCTACCACCTTGAGGGCAGAGACTCAACCTGGAATACACAATGCCACCTATTGGAAGAGAAGAAAATAGAATTCTAAGAGTGTATTATTATTATTATTATTATTATTATTATTATTTCTCTCTTCTTTTTCCTGTTTTCCTTTTTTCATTTAATATTTCTTTTCCTCTGTCTTTTTTCATTCCTTTTTCTCTCTCTTTTTTTTCTTTCTCCTCTTCCTCTCCCAACCTCCCAAGTATTACTACTTTTACTATGTGTAAATTACTAAATGCAAATAGGTGATTGTTTCTATGCTTCTTATTGTCCTCATATGTACTTAGCCCCCCTAAAATACCTCCGGTCTATTCTCCTGTTAATAACCCCCATCATTAGAATTCTCCTCCAAAGTAGCTAAGATATATTAATCCCCATACCCTAACATATTTCCCCCTAAACATAAAGTCCTTTGACAGACCCTCAGTTCTCTATATGCCACCAGAATCTGTATGCCTTTGATGAAGCTAATGAATGTATTGTAAACTATAATTGAATCCAACATTTCTAGACACTGTCTCCCATCACAAAGGAGAGATCTCAGAACTATTCAAGAGCAATACAAATTTATAGGAGAAAAATAATAACACAACAGTCACACAGAGCTGGAAAGAAACGTGAGCAACATGAAAAAAACAAGGAAAAAAAGGAACACAAACAATGCAGGACAACTCAACATTACAGGAGTTGCTAGCCACAGCAGAGAGATTGTCAGATAAAGACTTCAAGATATACATGCTTCAGATGTTATACAGTCTTAAGGAGGACCTTACACAACAAATGCAGACAATGAAAGATCACTTTGACAAAGAATTACATAAACAAATCCAAGAAGCAAAAGATCAACTCTACAGGGAGACAGAGGTTATACAAAAAAACCAAACAGAAATACTGGGAATGAAGGAAATAATAAACCAAATTAAAAACTCAAATGAGAGTATCACCAGCAGACTAGAACACTTAGAAGTCAGAACACCAGACAACGAAGACAAAGTATATCATCTCAAAAAGTTTGTAGATAGCTCAGAAAAGTTGATAAGAAACCACAAGCAGAACATTCAAGAAATATGGGATAACATAAAGAAAACAAATTTAAGAGTTATAGGGATAGAGGAAGGTATAGAGGTCCAAACCAAGGAATGAGCAATATCTTCAATGAAATAATTTTAGAAAACTTTCAAGACATGAAGAATGAAATGGAAATCCAAATCCTAGAAGCCTACAGGATGCCGAATGTACAAAACCACAAGAGACCCACACCAAGATACATTATAATGAAAATGCCCAGCACACAGAACAAGGAGAGAATTTTAAAAGCCA